TAAATTTGAGAGAAATTCTTACACTGATGGGGTTTCTCCCGTAGTTCAGTCGGTAAAGCATCTGCCTGCAATGCGGGAGGCCTAGGTTCAATTCTTGGGTCTGGAAGATCCCCTGGAGAAGGAAATGGCAACCCACTCTCGTATTCTTGCCTGGAGAATCCCATGGACAGAGGAGCCTGGCAGTTTACAGTTCACAGGGTCGCAAGAGTCAGACACAACTTGGTGCTCTTTCTTTCTTACAGTGATGATACATAAGGGTGCTCAGTGCAATCTTGGCAAAAATGCAAAACAACCTAGGTGTCCACCAAGGGCAGACTGGACCAAGGCAGATGCCCACCAAGGCAGATCTGTTCACACGGTGGAATATTACACAGCAGTGAAAATGAATGAGCCAGAAAGTATCTGTGGAATATGTTCCCCACTTCTGAGAAGGTAGAACTCTGTGTGTGTGTGTGTGTGTGTGTGTGTGTGTGTGTGTGAGTGTGAGTGAGCGTGAAGTCCCAGAAGAAGGTCTGAAAGGATTTATACCAAGGTAATAGCAGTGGTTACCTCTGAGGAGTGTAGAATTTTAACGGGGCAGGTCTAGAACAGACTTGCATCTTTCTCTCTGTGGTCTTACTATTGGGATTTTTCCAGGGGAGTCTCCATTACCAGAGTTCTGGATTGAGGCAGGCAAAGTGTTCTAAAGTGAAACTAGATACCACTGCCTGCCCAGCACCCTTCACGGCTCCCCACTGCCATGGGGACCTCTCCGTTGATCTCTCCAGTCTGGCTTATGAAGCCTCCTTCCCCCTTGAAACCCCACAGTCCAACCACACTGAGGCTCTTGGAACCGGTTAGATGCTGAGAGCTGGGCTTTCCACTTTGGTTTCCTTTGTGTGTGTGTGTGTTAGACTGATGTAAAAATAGTGCCAGTGTTTCACCCCGACCATATCCTTGCCCATCTGTGATGTAAGTTTGCAGCTCCTCCCACGTGCCTGGAATCTGAGCTCACCTTGGGACTTGCTGTGACCAACCCAGTATGAGGGAAGGGATGTCTGGTCCCAGTCCCACGTGAACAAGCCTGCTGGATGTGGAGAGACCTGTGGCCCAGTCTCCCCTGTTGCCCAGCCCACGCTGGCCAACCGGCCAGCCCTCCAACTGACCACAGATGCGCGAATGAACCCAGTAGAGATCAGCCAAGCTTGGTCAGGATCACCTGGCTGACCCACAGAGTCACAAGCAACAGTACACGGTGTGTTGTTTGAAGCGTGAGGTTTGGAGGTTGTTGTCAGTGTAGCTGATACACTCTTCCTACAAGGCCCTTTTTTATCTATATCTGCCTTCTCTGGGGGACTTCCCAGGTGGCTCAGTAGTAAAGAACCTGCCTGCCAATGCGGGAGACGCAGATTCCATCCCTTGGACAGGAAGATCCCCTGGAGAAGGAAATGGCAACCCACTCTAGTATTCTTGCCTGGAGAATCCCTGGACGGAGGAGCCTGATGGGCTGTACAATGTATGGGGTCACAGAAGAGTCAGATTTGACTTAGCGACTAAACAACAACAACACAATGACAACAACCTTCTCTGAACTGCTTCTCACTCATCCTTTTGGCCTCAGTGTAGACATCACGTCCTTGGAAAAGCCCTCCATGACACCCTAGGATGTTAGGGGCCCCTCCTCGGGTTGCCAGCAGCCTCCAGCACCCGGGGTTAAAACACTGCCTTGCCTGTCTCCTTGAGCAACGGGAGGGAGGGGCAGTGGGCAGGGCTGTGTCTGTCTAGTTCCTGGTGGTTCCCTCGTGCCCAGCACAATACCTGGCACGCAGTAGCAGGACTGCTGTAGCAGTCCCAGTGCCAGAGCGGAGCTCCGCTGAGTGGAGGGAGGCCTGAAAACCATCTGTGGGAACCATCTAGAGCAGGAGCCGAGATAAGGCAAAGAGGCGTGTGGAAGCTGGTGCCAACGGGGGCAGCAATTTTGATCACGTTTCCAAGAACTGAGAAAGACTCAGGGATACAAACATTCCCACGAGCTTCATCTGAAACCCTACTCCAGGTCTGTGCCAGGATAGAGTTTTGCATTTGGAGGGAAGAAGTTCTAAAATGTGCTGCATGATCTAAAAATTCTTCTAGAGGATTGCCTTTTCACAGGGAAATGGTAATTGTGAAGATCAGGCTGCTGGAGAGAGGATGGACTGCTTCGGGTACTCATGAGATGTTTTTGCTGAGAGCTGCATGAAATTTAAGTTTTGCCAAAAACTTTTTTTTTTTTTTGCCATCTTGGGACACTGAATGGGGTCCTTCTACGTGTGAACTTACAGTTCTGCAGGTTACAGTTCTAAACTCTCTGCATTCTCCTTCCAGAGGCAAAAATCAGGGGCTGAGAGAGCTCTGTGGCCTTGACCCTGGCCAGGTCACAGCCCAGACTTGCTCCCTCCAGTCCATCTCTGAGTCCCCAGCGTGTCCTGGCCTAGGGAACATTGGCTGCCTGGAGCCTGGAGATGAGGTGGGTAACACCCTCTACCCAGACACAATCAGCAGTTCTCTGCCTTTATATACGGCGGCTTCCCCACTAATGGCAGTCAAATCAACTGCAAATCGGACACGACTGAGCGACTGAACTGAAGGAAGTTAAGTAGGGTTTACTCTCTACCAGGAAAAAGTCAGAGAATATTCAGGTTTTAGAGGAAATTTTTTTCCCCCTCTGGATGTGAGGCTGATGAATCCTCACAATAAGTGGGCTGTGAGAGTGAGGGGACAGGGCTGCCTGCGAGGCAGACTAGCTGCAATCCACTGTGCCTACCACTCCTGGGCCTGGTCCCACACAGGATCTGCAACACAGGGTGGGATCCACACCCGCCGGCCGTGGGAATCCGCTCGTCACCGCTGTGGACGGAGGGCGAACTAGCCGGGTATCACCGACGCGAAGCGCACCTCCTCTGGACCGCTGCTGGTTCCGGGCCCCTTGCCTGTGGCCCTCCTCCTTCTGGGAACCACCTCCTGAAGTTTCCTTTCGGCTCCTTCCCATCCCCACCCTCAGACCATTCGGTTAACGTAGGGTTAACACTACTGGGCTTCCCTCGCGGCTCAGCTGGTAAAGAAACCGCCTGGGTTTGATCCCTGGGTTGGGAGGATCCACTGGAGAAGGGAAAGGCTACCCGCTCCAGTACTCTGGCCTGGAGAAGTCAATGAACTGTATAGTCAGTCCATGGGGTTGCCAAGACTCGGACGCCACTGAGCGACTTGCACTTTCAAGGCTACTTTGCGCTGCAAATGCAATCAGGTGACCGGGAGGCAGGCCAATCAGAGGACGAATGCCCATCCCAGCCTGGTGATTGGCTTAGGAGCTATCAGGTGACCCAGGCCTGGCCAATGAGAGCCCTACCTGGAAACTTGACTAACAGATGGAGAAGAGAAGGCCCATTTCTGCAGGGTTTGCTGAGCTTCGAATTGCTGGTGATTTCTATGCTTACGTCATTGGAACAGTTAACCTGACATAAAGGTATTGCTTTGTCAACAAAGGTCCATCTAGTCAAGGCTATGGTTTTTCCAGTGGTCATGTATGGATGTGAGAGTTGGACTATAAAAAAAGCTGAGCACTGAAGAATTGATGCTTTTGAACTGTGGTGTTGGAGAAGACTCTTGAGAGTCCCTTGGACTGCAAGGAGATCCAGCCAGTCCATCCTAAAGGAGATCAGTCCTGGGTGTTCATTGGAAGGACTGATGTTGAAGCTGAAACTCCAATACTTTGGCCACCTGATGCGAAGAGCTGACTCATTTGAGAAGACCCTGATGCTGGAAAAGATTGAAGGCAGGAGGAGAAGGGGACAACAGAGGATGAAATGGTTGAATAGCATCACCAACTCGATGGACATGAGTTTGGGTGAACTCCGGAAGCTGGTGATGGACAGGAAGGCCTGGTGTGCTACGGTTCATGGGGTCACAAAGAGTCGGACATAACTGAGCGAATGAACTGAGAGGCAACACAGAGGAAAGTGCAGCCCAAGGGAGACCTAGAAGCCAGATAGCCTGGGCTTCCCTGGCGATCCAGTGGTTGAGATCCCCCTGCCGGTGGAGGAGACATGGATTCCATCTCTGGTCTAGGTTCCAGGGCAGCTAAGCGGATGAGCCACAGCTACTCACTGAAGCTCGAGTGCCCTGGAGCCCGATCTCAGCAACAAGAAAAGCCACCATGATGAGGAGCCCTAGCGCCAGAGGGAAGGGTGGTCCCCAATTACTACAAGTAGAGAAAGCCAGCGCACAGCAAGGAAGACCCAGTACAGCCCCCTCAAAAGCCAGGTGACCTCATCTGAGCACCTGCACCCAGTCATGCCCGATGTCCTGAGCTTTTCATTTATGGGAGCTAATCGTGTCTTCCTTTTGCTTCGGTACTACTGAGTGCGATTTCCTGTCTCCTGCATATAAAGGAATCCTGACTGACATCACCCACCTAGGGAGACAGAGTAGAGAGGGGCAATGACAGAGATCCCAGCCTTTACCTGCCCCAGCCCCTCCATGGCACTAAGGATCCCCCTTCTCAGACTCCTGCTGCCTTTGCCCGCCGTGGAGGAGGAGGGTCGTTTGGGAGCTACACCTTCATCCCATTCCCCCTTCAGATGAGGTCCCTGGTAGGGCCAGCCTGGAGCCGAGGCTCCAGTAATGCAAAATGTCTCATCATCTGCTGAGTCCAGGAAGCACACCGGCTGCATAAAGCCTGAAATCTCATTAAGGTCACTTGTAAGATCCCTTTTTGCAGATAAGGAAGCTTCCAAGAGGTGACAAAATTTTCTTGCAGTTTCACGGGCCACCTGGATCTCTGTGACCCCAAGGATGGAGCTTTTCCCAATCCTGGGCCTGCTCCCCACAGCCTAAAGCACTCCCAGGGGGCTCTGATGGTTGCCCAAACCCAGAAACCCCAGGGTCGAGGATCAGATGAGCACTACCCCGTTTCCATCCATCCTGTAGATAGAGAGCTTGAGAGTGACAAAAACCACCAGTACTAACACCAAGGATAGGAGCTGAGCTTTTAATGCCCCAATTTGCCTTGTCTCCAGGCAGAGCTGGGGAGAGGTAGAGCTTCCCGCTTTGGTTATGTAGTGGAGGAGGGGCATTTATGAGGCGGCTCAATTCTGATGTCCCAGAGTCCCAGCCAGCCTCGAAGCAGCAAGGACTCTCCGGAGGGGGAGAATGGATTGGAGCCGCTGAAGGCTTGCCCAGCAAGGGAGCTAAGATCTGTGACCTGTGAACTTCTCCGGGGGAAGGTGGGTCCAGCTGGATTTCCCATGCTTTTGTTTTTAAGCTCTTTTTGAGACAAAGGTGAGGTTGGGGACCCAGCTCTTTGTTAAATGTGGGCAGGTGAACATAGCTTCTAGAAGCTCCATATGGGCCCAGAGATGCTGCAGCCTGGGTGCTGGGCAGGAGAGCTAGTGGTTTTTCAGAAGCTGAGAGCAAGACCTGTCTCTCTGTGGGTTGCGTTGGAAGGGAATGGCCCGCATCATGGGGGCTATGTACTGGCCCCAGACTCTGGTCCTCTGATGTTGTTTTTTTTTCAGGCCTGATGACTGTATTCTGCATTTCCTTGACTGTCCCTCCCTGTGGTCCACCACCCGGCCCTGGTCCGGCCTTGCCGTCTGTCTAATGTTTATAAGCCTGATGAGGCTGGATGCTCAGGGCCTTGCCCAATCTCAAAATGGTCGCTATCAAGAGGAGATGATCATAGGAATAAATTACTTATATTAATTGATATTATTTATAATGTTAACTACAGTTTGTCCAGCTCCTTACTATTTACAAAGAGCTCACACACACGAATGCAGGCGCACACACACACACACACACACACACACACACAATCTCATTTGATCTTCCCAGCAGCTGTGTGAGGAGAGATTTGGAATTCCCATTGTATGGGGGAAGAAAGTGAGGCCCAAGGACAAAACAGCTGCTCAAGGTCATCAGCCAAGGGCGAGCTGCTGCTGCTGCTAACACGTTGTGAGAGGATGGCTGTGCCCTCCCGACCCGTTCTTCTCTCCATTCACGTCTCCATTCATTCCTTCCTTCCTCCACCTAGCATTTATTAATAAGCACCTACGGCGTGCCCCGTCGTGCGCTACGCACTTATCCCTAAGCTGGGACACTTTTCCAGAGCAAGAGTTCTTGTGTAGCTGAGAGATGAGCTGGGGGGAGCGGAGCTACAGCGGGCCCCCGGGAAATCAGGACTCCTGATCGGGCCGCCCCTGCTAAGTGAGGCGCCTCCTGTTTCTCTCATTGATTCTTTTGCATTTGGTTGGTTGGTTTTTGTGTTTACACTCAAGGAGCCTGTGAGAGCTGGTTCCGATAGGCGCGGCTCCTGATGGAGCTGCTGAGGCTGGGGTGGGGGTGGGGGCTGGGGGCTCCTGCGGCGGGCCATGGAGTCCCTGGAGGGGCTTAGGCAGGCGCCACCTGGCTGGTCTCTGTCTTGGAGACAGTGGTGGAGGCCTCGTCGTCACCCAGTGGGTTCTTGCCACAGCAGAGGGTGGTGAGCATGCAGTTCCGGAACTGGAAGGAAGAGGTAGGGTTAGGATGAGGGGTGGTCAGAGTTCCCCAGAGTCTGGGTGGGAAATGGCATCGTCAGCGAGATGTGCCTCCTCTCTCTTCCTGCCTCTGGCCCTCCCAGCCTCCACTCCCCGGTCAGATGGCTCCCTGCAGGAGCTTAGTAAGCCTCCCCAACCCCACCCAGAGGTGCTGGGACCAAACCCAAAGGGGCTTTGTCACTGGTGATGCTCCACAATGCCCTCAGCGTGCCAAGGGCCATCTGGAGATGATCCCATTGAACCCAAGAGTTTAAGATTTCATCCTTTCCGTGGATGAAGAAAGTGAGGCCCAGAAAAGGGAAGTGACTTGCCCAAGGCCACACAACTAAAACCTAGCAGAGGTGGGATTTGAACCCAATCTGTCTGACTCTAGGTTTTCCCCACGACCAAAGAACCTGCAGAGGAACCACTGGTCTACGTTAAAAGGACCACTTTATCCCTTCGTCCCTCAGAACGAGACATCTTAGCATCCTTTGGAGCTTTGTGGAGACTGGCACCTGTTCCCAAGCCCAGGACTTTGACCATCTGGACTGTTAAAGCTAGCCTCCAGAACCATCTGAACTGGCACTTCTCTTTCCTGAGCCAGCATCAGAGGGCTTGCTAGAAATGCATGTTCCTGGGCCCACCCTGAGCTTCTAATCAGAAGATCTGAGGGTTGGTTCAGGAATGTGCATTTCTCCGGGATGACTCATGATTACCCCAGGGAAGACCAACTCCCCTGACCATTTTGCAGGTGGGAAGACTGAGGCCCAGTTAAGACTGCAGATTCACCTGTCGCCTGGGGGAACCTGGCCCCTTCCCGCCCCACCAGCAGGCACCTGCTTGTTCATCATGATGTAGATGACGGGGTTGTAGACGGCGGCAGACTTGGCAAAGAAAGCCGGGAGGGTCATGAAGATGGGGCCGAAGTCAGAGCCCTGATGGGTGAAGATGTAGAACGCCACCCCAGCGTAGGGCACCCAGCAGATCAGGAAAGCGATAACCATGATGATAACCATGCGGGTGACCTCCTTCTCGGCCTTCTGAGTGGTAGCCGACTCCTGTTGCTGGGCAGCCGCCTGCAGGGACACAGCGCCTGGTGTCCGGGCTCGAGGCTCCTCTGGGCCGGGGGGCCGTTCTCAGCCTCATCCATGCTCTTGTCCCCCACCCCACACAGCACTGGCCCCCCAAGGGCCCTACCTCCTTGACGGTGAACACCAGCTGCCCATAGCAGAAGAATATGATGATCAGGGGGATGGTGAAGTGGACCACGAACATGTAGATGACGAACGACTCATTGTTGACCTCCGGCTTGAGCGTGTAGTAGTCAATCCCACATGAGCACTGCATGCCTTCCGGGATGTACCTAGGACCGGGGAGGGGAAGGGGCAGCAGCGGCAAAGGGAGACCCGCGTGTGAGGGCCCGGGGCCAGGCCCAGCTGCCCAGAGTCCTCTGCCAGCGCCCGCAGTGGGGCTGGTCCCACTCTAGGCCTCACTTTCCCTCTCTGCAAAATGGGGATAACAAACCTCTCCTTGGCTGTGAGCCTCACTCTACTGAGATAAGGGATTCAGATGTGTGGAAACAGTGCTGTTGCCTTGTTTGGCACCGTGTTATCCTGGGACCCTGGTCTCTCCCGGTCTCTCCCTCCCAGCGCCTCTACTCTGCCACTGTGCTTCCCTGCCTGGAGCTTCTTCACCCGGCCGGCCACTCCGGAGTGGCCGGAGGCCAGGCCTGGGACCATGAGGTGGGAGGGGAGAAGGGAAGAGCTCCCAATGTCTGTATTGCAGGCACCCAGATCTTTCTAGGCCACTCAGAGTAATTAAGGGATCTTTGCACAGTTTCTGGAAACAAGAGGCCCTGGAGCGTGTGGTTAGGGCGTGTGATTTCAGAGGATGGTGACACTGAACTGACCTCGGGAAACCCAGTGTCCATTAGCCGCGTCCACGAGGATGTAACTAGGCCAGACTGGAGAAGACAGAGGAGGGGTGGGGTTTTTTGCCCCTTGCTAAATTGCTCGGGAGGGAAAACACTGGCCCCAGGAAGACTGAGAGAGGAGGAAAGGGGAGAGAGATGGCCGTTTCCTGGAAGCAGAAGGGCACGAAGCCTCTGGGAACCCACAGAGTCCAATCTCCCAAACCACGTTCCACCCCACCGCCATCTCATCTCAGCCCATTGGGGGTTAACGGCTGAGAGTCTTGCCAGGACTGGTTCCCAGGGCCACACCGTCACACCTGCACAAGGCGGGGCTCTGCCTCTACAGGGGCAGAGGCCTGAGGTCAGAGGAGCCGCTCCCGGGGTCCTGGACCAAAGAGGATTGGGATCTGGCCTGGCTTAGTTGGGGATTAGGGGCACAGCCAAGGTGAAGGTTTGGGGCATCTTGGAGTCTCCTTGACATGGGGAGCAGCCCCATGTAGCGACGTTGGGGGCTGACCCTCTCTTCCCTGCCCTAAACCTCAACCCTATGAGAGCTGCCAGCAGCCCACCCCTGCAGCCGGAGGACCCTAGGAAGCGCCCCGGAGACCCTCCTCCCCGCCTGCTCAGTGACGTTACCTGGACCAGCCGACAAGGGGGGGCGCAGCGCAGGCCAGGGCCATGACCCAGGTGAAGGCAACGCCCATGATGGCGTGGTTCTCCCCGAAGCGGAAGTTGCTCATGGGCTTGCACACCACCACGTACCGCTCGATGGCCAGGACCACCAAGGACCACAGGGCGATTTCACCTGCAAGGCGGCCGGCTGTCAGTCAACCCGCCCCATGGCTGGACCTGTCTGTCCAAGGAGGGGGTGTGCTCCTCCTGGGGATGGGGAGGGCGGGGTCGACCAGGAAGGCACCCGGGAGCAGTCCTGGAGCACGGACTTAAGGAGCGTAGGGTCTGGACATGGACGAGGGGAGATGTCGGGGCAGACGGGCCGATAAGCCACGTGGAGTAACTCCCAGGAAGGTTAGTGCAGCCAGAGCTCTGGGTTCACCGGGCACATGGCAGTTGGCTCGTGGGGTCATGGCTGAGAACTGGGAGCCTGGCATGGAGTTTTCACAGAAGAATGTGTCCTTCCTGGGGCCACTGGCAGAATTCCAGTCACAGGGGACAGCAGAGACAGCAGGAGCAAGAGGGGGAGGCCTCCCTTTCCTCCTGGGCAGCGGGCCTCTCGCCTCCAGGGACATGGGACACCCTGGGCATGGGCGACCCTCTCCCGGGAGCCAGGGAGCTGGAGAGTGTTTTGCTCAGAGGGAGGAGGAGGAATAATGATGGGGTTCAGACATCTGCCCTGCACATCACCCTCAGAAACTCAGGAGGGAGATGGCCATGGGGTTTACCAACTGGGGCATTTCCCAGAGTTAAAGGGAATGCCAGTGGGTACTCCAGGCCCACGGTTGTCGCAGAGGCGTGCCCACCTGTGTGTGGCACCCCTGTGGCCTGAGACTGGGGGATCGCGGTCACCCAGCAATGGCCAGCGCCCCAGGAACAGGGCTGAGGCAGGGCCTGGACGCACATGGGAGAGAGGAGACAGAGCTTCCTGTGGCTGGTGCCGGGCTCTCTCCATCCCCCAGGCTTTGTGACGACAACCTCCCGTGTCTCCTGCTTGCCTGAGAGTGTCCCCAGGGGACGCTCCTGGGTCTGAGCCAGGAGACCCAGGCTCTGGGCACTGGCCTGCCACATTCCTGAATCACTCCTCCCCTCTGCACGCTGCAGTTTTCTCATCGGCTAAGTGAAAGTGAAGTCGCTCGGTCGTGTCCGACTCTTTGCGACCCCATGGACTGTAGCCCACCAGGCTCCTCTGTCCATGGGATTTTCCAGGCAAGAATACTGGAGTGGGTTGACATTTCCTTCTTCATCGGCTAAATGGGATCTATTCACCTGTTTTTCAGTGAAAATATTTTAAAAGCATGGCTCACAGCTACACAGATCACCTCACCAAGTCTACTGGCTCCCTGTGAATGGACTCCTCAAGGCGGAAAGCCTTCAAGCGGAGCAGAGAGCCTGGAGGCAGGCTGGGAGGGAGTCAGAGAGAAGCTGGGGAGGGACCGCGCCGGCGCCCAGTGCAGGCAGAGGCTGGTGCCTGGAGGACTGAGGAATGTCATCCTGCCCCGGGCTGGGGCCCTGAGCACAGACACCCGTGTCATCCAGCTCTCTGTCCCCGGGACCTGGCGTGGGTCTCACCCAGCCCCACTGCTCCAAGGGGAGCAGAACCGTGGCCTGAGGGGCCGCAGAGACTTGGGCTTGCAACTTGGCCTTGCCAGAGACTGCCTGCGACCCCAGCGAGGCCCGGGACTCCTCTCATCTGTCTCCTGGCTGGAGGGCGAGGCAATGACCCCAGTGCCAGTGAGATCACGTGCTCGGTAGCCGCCCTCCACCAATGCCGGCCGAGCTCGTCATCGCTTACCCAGCGTTTACTGACTGGGTAAGGGAGGGCTTTGGATTCCGGGCTCTCGTCCGCCATCCGCAAGGCTGGGGCTGTCCCCACGCACCCCCTGCCCAGCCCACCACACCCAGCTCATACCGCCCAGGGTGGCAAACCATCCGCAAGGCTGGGGCTGTCCCCACGCACCCCCTGCCCAGCCCACCACACCCAGCTCATACCGCCCAGGGTGGCAAAGAAGCCTTCCAGGTTGCAGCCCGTGGGCCCGAAGATGAAGTATCCGTGCAGAGAGGTGTAGAGGGTCGTGGTGAAGCCCCCGAAGACCATGAAGAGGTCGGCCACGGCCAGGTTCAGCAGGATGTAGTTGAGGGGCGTGCGCAGCTTCTTGTGCTGGACCGTGACGTAGAGCGTGAGGAAGTTGATGGGGAAGCCGAGCACGATCAGCATGAACATGTAGGCGGCCAGCATGGAGAACTGCCACGGCTCGGCCAGGTAGTACTGTGGGGCCTCAAAGGGGCTGCGCACCACGCCCGTCTTGTTGGAGAAAGGCACGTAGAAGTTCGGGCCCTCCGTGCCGTTCATGGCTGCGGCCCTTGCGGCTGCCCGCCGGCGGCGCGAACCCAAGGATGCTTCTGAGGCCGGAGCTCAGCCACACGGGGCTCCGGCTGGACGACTCCGGGCTCTGACTCCCCCCCCAGGCCCTTATAAAGTGACCTCCCCTCCCTAAGCTCCCAGCTGAATCAGCACCTGGGAGATTGGGGGCGTTATTAATCATATTAATCCTCACTGCTGCAACGAGGGGCCTAATTGGCTTCCAAGTGGGGCCAAGGTGACTCCAGGTAGAAGGCTGTGGTTGGGGAGAAGGGGGTGGGGGGTGGTGGAGACCCTGGGAAAGAGCAGAGGCCTGCCCCCAACTCCCCTGTCCCGCTCTGTCATCTCAACTGATGGCCCTGGCCTGGCATTGGGACCCCCGGCTCCAGGCCCACTGCCCTCCAGCTCAGGGCAAGCAAACTTCACCTTCCTCCCGCCTGGCCCACGAGCTCCCGGAGGGCAGAGCGCTGGTTCTTCTGTCATCCCCTCTCTCAGCCCCTGAGCCATCCCTTCCCCACCTGGGTCACCTCTGGGCTTATCCAGTCATCACACACTGCCCACCGGCCAGGTCGCGAGCTTCACAAGTGCAGCGGGACACTCCGGGGATGGGATGCAAGCCCCACGTTGCCCGGGAGCTCAAAAAGCATTTGTTCCCTTGAACTGGAGTTCACTCACTCACTTGTTCAAACCGACATTTCTGTGCAGGCCACTGGGGGAGCCGAGGCTCCAGGAAGGAGGAGCTTATGGGCTGGGGAGGACTTCTGTGTGGGAAGACTCGCTCCCGACCCGGGGAGGGGAAGCCACCGACCCGCGGAGACGTCCAGGGGGACAACGTTTAGAGGGAGGGGGGCACTTTGCCAGGTTGTCAAGTGGGGATGTCAGCATAGACTGAAGACAGAGGCCCGGCAGAGGCCCGAGGCCCATCTGGGATGTGGGCTGGGTTCAGCTGGGGTGGGGTTTAGTGCCAGGGGCTTATCTAGGGGAACTTGGGCAGATCTTGGGCACAAGAAAGTGTCTCAAAAGCCCTCAAGGATGAACTGAAGGGAGCGATGGTGGACGAAGGGCCCAGGGCAGAGGTGACCGAATCAGGGAGGCTCTTAGGGCTCCTGAAGCAAGGCCTTGCCTCCAGGAGGTGAACGGGGCCAAGGCTGTGCCAGGCACCAGATCCCTGCAGTGAGCGAGGAGGTGTGGTCCCGGGAGCTCCTGTGTGGAGGGGACGTGGGCCCTGGGAACAGCACACGGGCCACGGCCCGGGACTGGGGTCAGGCTAGGCTGCGGCCGTGGGCCTTGGGCACCACATGATCGACAAGCCGTGATGGCGTACCCCAGGACAGCGGGATGAGCTCAGGGTATGAACAAGGGCCCCCATCTACAATAGGATCATGAGGGCCCCTCCCAGGAGTAAAGTGGGGTCATGGGCAGCCTGGCCTTCAGGGTCCCCAATGACCACAGCCCAGCTGTGAATTTTATCCCGCACCAACTGTGTTCCACACAAGATACTCAGTTCTGGGGGGCACAGTGGACAAGAAGGACCAAGCCCCTGCCTGTAGGATGTGTCCTTCTGTGGGGGTGAGGAGGGGGCCCCCACAAACCATGAAGCAAATGACAATAGGGTACATTCAGGTGGTGACATCCTCCTGACACATAGTCGCCTGGAGCTGCCCAGGGAGGCCTGAGAGCTCGAGGATGGAAGGAGCGCTGAGGGGTGGAGCTGATCAAGGAGAGAGCGGCCAGTGCAAAGGCCCTGAGGCAGGGAACTCAAGGCTGGCCAGGAAGCATCCCAGTATCCAAGACCTCCGTGGCTGAGGCTCCCTTGTGCTGTCTCTCTTCCCACCTGGGATGTCCTCACCTGTCTGCTCAGAAACGCGCCCCCTTCCCTGCAGCCCACCTGGGGCTCCAGAGCCCTGCTGTCCCGGGAAGCGGGCAGCGTCAGGACTTGCGTGGGGAGCCTAGTGGTATGTGTGCTGCGAGGAGGAGCAAGGGGCAGGCAGGCGTGGCGGGTGGGTGGGGTGCGGCCGCTCAAGGTGTAAGGTGCTTGGCGCAGTGATTAGGCCCATCGCCAAAGAGGTCAAGGTGAAGGGTTTGATTCTGACACGGCCCCTGGTGGCCGGACAGAGGGACAGATGACGGACTCCCTGGGTCAAGGCCAGCACACGCAGCCCTGCCCTGGCCAGGCTGAGCCCCCAACCCTCAAACTCATGACCTTGCTTGTTACTGCCTAATGCTTATGACAACCTGGAAGCTTTTAATTCCTATTCTGTTCATGGGTCTCGCAGGCTGTAACCGAGCCCCCAGGGGTGGGCTGGGGTCTGTCTTGCTCATCACAGGGCCCCAGAGCCCAGCTCGACACACAGCAGGTGCACGTGAATTGTTTCCCTTACGTCAGCGGTCCCCAACCTTTTTGGCACCAGGACCAACTTCGTGGAAGACAGTTTTTCCATGGACCAGGGGTTGGCGGGAGGGGATGGTTTCAGGATGATTCAAGTGCATTACATTTACTGTGCACTTTATTTCTAACCTAGCACTGCCGTTGATCTCTCAGCAGGTACTGGTCCATGGCCTGGAGGTTAGGGACCCCTGCCCTACTTGAATGAGCTGGGATTTCTATTTGGTGCCCGGGGCCTGGCACATGACAGGTGCCCAAGAACTGTCTGTGGACTGAGCAGATGGATCTAGGTTATCGCAGGAAGTGCTGCCTTTCTCTAAGACTCAGGCCCACCCTCCGTAAGAGAGTCTAATAATCCACAATATCACGGTGGGGATATAGGAGATTAAATGTCATCCCTGACATGATGGACGTCTGCTCTATAATGCCTGATAGACAATTAAAAACAAAGGATGCTCTTTTGCTTGGAGGAATGGGCTCACAGAAAGACAGGAAGGTCATTAGAAGTCACCTACTCTGACCCTCCGTTGCAGGTGGGGAGACCAAGGCCCCCAGGCCACAGGCCTGGCCGCTCCTGCCTCAAAGGCAGCTCTCAGGAAGACCGTCCATCACTCACACCGGGTGCCAGTGACGAAAGCGGGTTGCGCTGGGGTGCTGGAAAGGGCCCGACTCAGTTGTTCAGGCCTGGGCAGCAGCGGCAGCAGGGGCGGCACTGGGCTCAGTTGCAAGAGAGCCTGCAAAGGCCCGCTGCCCCCCTCAGGTCGCTGGGACTAGGAACCTCCAGGATCCACCCCCACCTGCGGGGCAAAGCTGCCCGCTGTCCCGCCCGAGCCCGGCTCACAGACCTACAGACCCGAGGAGCAGGTCCCCCCGTCCTCCCCCAGGGGACCGCGGCTGTCGGCCACGAGGCTGGGGGCAGCCCAGCCCTCCCTCCCCTGAGCCTGTTTCCTGCCAGGACCAGCGAGCTTTGCTGACTGTCACCCTCTTCTGCGTGTGTGCGCTGAGTCCCTCCAGTCGTGTCCGACTCTGTGAGACCCTCTGAACTGCAGCCCACCAGGCTCCTCTGGCCGTGGAGTTCTCCAGGCAAGAACACTGGAGCAGGTTGCCGTGCCCTCCTCCAGCAGATCTTCCCGACCCAGGGATCGAAGCTGCATCTCTTACATCTCCTGCACTGGCAGGCGGGTGCTTTACCACCAGCACCACCTGGGAACACTCTTCGGAACCTGGTTCAGATCACAGCTGTGGAGGGCCCCTCCAGCTCTCAACGTGCATGTCCTACTTGGCACCCGACACTGCCAGCCACACCTGACTTGTCGCCCGACGGCCTGCCCGTCCCGGGGTAGGTGCTCAATGAACAAGTGTGCAGGGGAGGGACAGCTCCTCCCGGCCCCGCGAGGAGGCCTGGTGCCTCTGACCACCGGGGAGACGAGCTTCCTCGGCAGAGCCGGGTAGAGGCAGGGGGAGGTCCAGCTTCCGCTTGGGCTCTGCTGTCCCCACTGCCGGGCCGGCCGGAGGGAAGCGGGGAGCGCGCGGGGGGCCAAGCGCGGTGTGGGTGAACTTCCGAGCCCCCGCCCCTCTCGGCAGGCGCAGAATAGGCCTTGGGGGGCGGTGAGCGGCGGGGCTGGGGGTGGGGGTGTTGGTTGGTCTCTGCTTCTCCATCCCGGCCCCTCGGCCCCTCTGGGAGGCCAGGTGTGGCGAAGGATTAGGGCTTAGTTGGCAGCGGCGTGCAAATAGCTCTTAAGCCTCCACGTGGAGGTGCTGCTTGGTCAGCAGCCTCCTCTCCACGGCCCCCCCATCTCCCCTCACCGCTGAGCCCGCCACCTGCGTCACCACAGCCGAGTGAGGCCTGAGACTGAGCTGCCAACTCAAGGGGGGAAGAGCAGAGGGGAGACCGGTTCTCCTCTTTCTGTCTGCCTCTCCTCCCACAACCCCCTCCCCAGCGTCTGGCCAAGGCCGGGGGCTGGGGACATGGAGGTGAATCCTAGGCCAGTCCCTGTCTCCCCTGGTCCCCCCTCAAGGAGCTCCCCATCTTCAGGCAGGGGCAGCAGCCATGGGGAAAACGGGTAACTGGAAGAGGTGAGAAAATGCTCCCGCCTCTTTGCTGCGGGAGCCCAGAGGAGAAACATCAAGGGCCAGGAGGGAGGGGACAGCTGGGCCAAGGCCCTCGGCTGGTGGAAAGGCGCTGGGGCCCCGGGATGGGCTGGCAGGGGAGGCCAGGGGTCTGGGCGCCAGGTGGCGGCCAGCAGGGCTGCTGAAGTTATGACAGGCAGGGCAGTGGCGTGGTGGAGCCCATTCTAGATGTCCTGGGGTCTGGTGGAAGACATCAGGGTGTACTCGGGCAAGTGCTGGGCCAGGGTGGGAGCCCCGCCTGGCAGTGGCCCCTCTGCCAGGGCTCCTGCGTACCTGCCGGCGGGGCTGGCCTGCGCGGAAGACCATCTGGCGCCTGCCCACCTGTCCGGGAGCCCCAAGGGGCCCCCGGCTTCGGCAGCCTGGCTGGGGGTGGACGCGGGTGCCGGCTGGCCGCCTGGCTGAGACTGAGCTCGAGCTGGGACCACCTGAGGTCTGGCCCGGGGGCTCTTTCTGGCCACCCAGTCCCCTCTTCCTCACCTATTCCTTCCAGTAACGAAGAACAGTGCTGAAGACCCAGAGACAGGAGGTCGGGATGCAGTCGCAGCTGGCTCAGCCTGCGGCTGCCACTT